CCCTGAGTCTCTATGAGATACATCAAAAACAAATTTCGACCAATCACATTCAAGCACCTCCCAACATCGGTGGTACCGTTGGAAAGGCCATTGCCAAAATAATGCCAATGGCCTATCTATATGTTATTCTCAAACCAGCAAATAGTGTGTTTGCTTTGAGTGAGGGTAAGGGGTTAGAGAGGGAGAGAGAGAGAGAGAGAGGGAGAGAGAGGTAGAGATTTGATTTTTAATAAACCTTTATTTACTCCTGCAAGAGAAGTCAGATTATTTTTCCACCAACAGCAAACAGACAAACAAACAGCAAAAATCAAAAATGTATAACTACTCGAACACTGAACAAACAAATGTGTGAGGGTTTCAGGCTCAGGACAAAAACCACACTGCTCTCCAACCCCAGGATCAATGCACGCTTTGTATCTGCTTGTAGCTATAGCTCCATGTACCACCATCCACTGGAGGTCAGCGGTCCGTTTCTCAACGGGCAGCTTGTACAGGGACTGCCAGCAGCCTTTCGGGGAAGCCTCTGGGCCAAAGAACTCAGTCCACCTCGACTCCCTGACTCCCAATAGAGACCGGATATTCAGGACCTTCACACACACCTGGTATATGCTCTTTTTCTCCACCTACTGGAAGTTATCCAGGTGAATGGTTGTGAGGGACAGCAGCTGACCTCCCCCCTCTGCCCACTGCTCACACAGAGTCTGGCTCCTAACAAAAGTCCTCTGCCGGTGTGACGGAGCAGCACAGACTTCCTCCAGGACTCTGTGGACCAGTCTGACTGCCGTGATGTTGGTCCTCTGTCTAAGTGTGGCCACAGGTAAAGACGTTAGCTTCATCAGGTGCCCCAGTTTGGTGCATCCTGCCTCTCTCGGGCTGACCCTCAAACTGGCAGACTGCAGAGTGTGAGTCCTTATAAAGGAATTAGAAAACAGCGGTTCCTCAAACAGCCACATGCCCGGAGTCTCGACTGTGACCCGAGACATCTGCAAGGTCCTCCAGGCCTGCAGTACGGAGCTGTAGAATGAGGTCAGGCCACTGAGGTCCATCTCCTCAGACCTCAGCAGAAAAAGCTATCAGTCATACCCCCAGCTTCCAGCTTTCCGAAGCAGCAGGCGAGCCGTGTCCAGCCAGCTGGGACCACAGTCATAAAGCAGTCTTTGTGCTGCCTGCAGTCTAAAAGAGGCAATTCGGGACTGAATGTCAATGAGTCCCTTGCCATCTTCAACCAATGGCAGGTAGAGGGCTGCTGCCCTGATCCAGTGACAACCAGACTAGAAGAAGTCCAGGATGGTGCTCTGGATGTCTTCCATCAGACCCTTGGGTGGAGTCAGCGCATCCCCTAGCTGGAGACAAAAACATTAACATCATCTGCATAAGCAGCAACCGTAGGGGGACGCTCAATGACGCTGGACCCAGGCAAAGAGAGCCCGCTGAGTCGGCCCCTCAACCTGTACAGCAAGGGCTCAATAGCCAAGCTATACAGCTGGCCGGAGATGGGACAGCCCTGTCTGATCCCCCGCTGTACAGGGACTGGCCGGCTCACCCCTACCCCAATCTTCACCAAACACTGTGCACCCTGATACAACAAGCCAAGCCAAGACATAAACCCATCACCAAAACCAAAAGCCTTTAGTGCACAAAACAAATACGAGTGATCCACCCTGTCAAAAGCTTTCTCCTGGTCAAGAGACAGGACAGGAGAGCTACAGGACAACACACTAACATTAACAGAGGCTTTAAAGAGTACAGCTACACCTGCACTGAGGTTTGTACCATGACTCAGGTGATACGAGCCCTCCCACCATAAAGCCCAGTCTGTGTCATCAGACGGACCAGTATGTGTTTCCTGAAGAAACAACACATCAAGCATCTTTTGACGACAGACCTCAGATATAAGAGCTCTCTTCTGTGTGTCCCGCCCACCGTTAATGTTTAAGGACCCTATCTTAAGGCTCTGCATGAGGAGGGCCGAGAAGAGAAACGCACAACAAAGAACAGATAAAGGACAGTGTAGAGAGAGAGATACCTAGTGATACATGATCATTTTACTTTTTAGATTTCTTTTCAATTTTACTGCTGGTCTTTCTCAATGCAGTCAGGTGTTTTTTCAGAGTGTGGACAGATGTAATGAACTTCTCTGTGTCACTGAAATAATCACTCACTTTCACAGACTTTTTATTGAATGTTGAGTCCATGAACTGATTTATTTCATACAGAGAATAAAGATCAGCGCTTGGGTTGGAGGCTTCACCAATAGAGACATTATCTGATTGGTAATCCTCCTCCATGTCCTCGCCCTCACAGGAGGCCTGGCTGCTCACAACATTACCTTCATTACATTGACTCTTACCTGTAACACTAGAGGAAGCTTCTTCCTCATCATTCCTACCTGTCTGCACTTTTCTTTTAACCGGTGCAGACTGAGAGCTATGTATGGAGGCTGTAGTCCTCCAAGCCGGCGGCCCAGGTTCAAATCCTGCTTGTGGCTCCTTTCCTGCATGTCATTCCCCGCTCTCTTTCTCTCCCTGATTTCAGACTCTATCCACTGTCCTATCTCTACATTAAACGCACAAAAAGCCCAAAAGTAAATCTTAAAAAAAAATATATATATATTTACATTTATATATATTTAATATCATATTTTATTTATATGTATACAGACAGACAGAGAGAGAAACCTGTAATCGTGTTATTTAAAAAAGTATTAATTTATTTTAGTTTTAGTAGTGTTTACGTGTTCCCTCTCTGAATTTAATAACACTTCTCAGTTAAACATTTGTTTTTATTTGTTGGTGTTTTTTAATCTAGGACTGTAAATATGTCTGAGCCTTTAATTATGTGTTTGATATTTACAGTTTGTTGTACTTTTATGTCCGTTATCTTGAACTGTATTGACCACCTGATCCTCTCGCTGTGATTGGTGGACTCAGCCTCAGGTCTGCTCTGATTGGACCGTCAGCCTGTCAGTCAGACACCGTCGGGTCAAGCGAGGACAGCTGATCGTTTCAGGTCATTCTCAGTAACTTTACCTGAAAGTGCGACATCATGGCGGCACGCGCGCTGCTTCTTCTCCGACCTTCTGCAGCAACAACAATAATCAGAGCAACAACAACAATCAGAGCAACAACAACAACAATCAGAGCAACTGCAGCAACTTTCCAGCTGAGGAGCAACCTGTCGACGCTGAAAGGTCAGTGTTTCTAACATTCACCTTAATAACGGACATGAGTGAATTCAACCTTGAATGAGTGTTACATCAAAGAGAGCAGCTCTTCTTTCCATCATTAAAGTAACATATAATCCGTGTTTCACTTTTTAATCTGCACTTTTTTATGATCCAGTTATTTTTAGATCTCTATCAGTGACGTCAGCGCGCCGCGTGCTTCTGCTTTTTGGACTCGCGTGAATTAAAAGTTTGTTTGTATTAAAAAATGGACGTTAATGAGCAGAGAGGTGAAGGTCACCTGGCTTTGATGGACACTTCCTGTCTCAGTGTGGGAGGGGCTTAATGAATCAAAATTCAAACTTTATTTATAAAGCTGATGAAGACAGGAAACTTTCTCTTTTGTTTCAGGAATACCGACTGATGAGGAGCAGGCGACCGGGCTGGAGCGCCGCGCTCTGCAGGCGTTAAAACACGGGAAGGTAAACACACTCACCTTTTTATAATCGCTTTTTATTCATCATTGATTGATTTATGTGAAAGAGTTGAACATACTCTTCTATTGATTACAGCTTTTATTTATTGGACATCATGTGATATTAATAATATTGATTTTTCTGTCTCGGTGAAAGGACCCGTACAGCATGCTGAAGCCAAAGGAGTACGCAGGAACCCAAGACGAGCCGCATATCGTCCCGTCCATCGGAAACAAGCGGCTGGTCGGTTGTCTGTGTGAGTGGCGAGCAGAGCAGACGTCAGGATGAACGGCGGTCGACCGTTCAATGAAATAATCTTGTGATTTTGTGTGCAGGTGAGGAGGACAACACGGCCATCGTCTGGTTCTGGGTGCATGAAGGACACGCTCAGCGATGTCCATCCTGTGGCTCTCATTATCAACTCGTCCACCACGAGCTTCCTCACTGAAAACAAAGTCTACTGCCCCCTGATGGTCACTCAGGGTACTGTCTGTATTTAACCCATACAGTTTATCATTAAAACATTTCTCTCAGCTTCCCCCTCTGTCCTTTTTCATGTTTGATCAAAACAAACACCAGACCACGTTTCACATTTAGTGTCAGTGGCTGCACTCGGACTTCTTTAAGGCTTACAGCCGCCACGCCTCACAGGTCATCATTTTTCTGTGGCGGGCGGATAGGCTTGTGTATGTAGCCTGTTATGCGCGCAGATAAGTGAATGCTTATGTGTAACTGTAGGCTGTTATCTGATAGCAATGCAGATTCATTGATTAACGTACAAAACCATCCACTTCGACATGTACATAACAGCCTACATCCACGGAGACTTTTCGCTCTTTAGTATCAGCCAATGGCGACACTGGATTTGACCCGGCTCTTCACCATCCAATCAGGGCCCGATGTGCTCCGGGGTTGCTAGAGTGTACCCTCACCAGATAAGTTTATCTTGCTACCTGTAGTTAGCTCGCTCCTGCTATCAATTTATTACACTTCAGTAAATTTAAAACAACAGCTGGCTGTATTTGAAATTAAGATCAACGTTATAGTTAATCAGTGTTTACTTACTTTTAAAGTTGGTTCCAGGTGAAAAGCTCAAAGCTGAGTCCTCGCTGCGCCATCTGCTGGTGGAAGTTAGCTACTGTACGTCATTGTTTACAACGTTGAGGCTTGATTTTCCTCCGGGTGGATATCTCCCCCCCCCCCAAACTCCACGTAAATCTTAATTTCAAATACAGCCAGCTGTTGTTTTAAATTTACTTCAGTGCAATAAACAGATAGCATGAGCGACATCAACGTGTCATTATGACTATCTGAAGCTGAGCTCATGAGGTCATCATGCAGAGAAACAAACACAGCAGTCGTTACGGTAACCAGGAATGATTGTAATCTAAAATACTGAGATATCAGAACGTTTGAAATCAACATCAGAGACAGTTTGACTCCTCGCCATCAGTCCAACACATCATCTTCAGCTAGTCGTGTCCAAATATGACGTCATGAGTCTGGCGTCTCCTCGTGTAGCGTCTCCTTGTGTGGCGTCTCCTCGTCTGAAGCTCAGGCCAGATTGAAGCCCTGGTTGTGATCTATGGCGTGTAAAAGTTTCTCTCTCAGAGTTTGAGCGCTCGTGTACTTTGGCAGGTCAAGCAGGTTGAAGCAGGTGTGAGCGACAGGTAAGTACTGCTGCCCTCCACCTGTGGGCTGGATCACAAGCTTCAGGCTCTTCATGCCCAGGATGGGAATGCGGTCACTTCCTGTGAGAAACACTGAGACACACACACTCTTCATTTCACTGAATCAACATGTCTGATAAAGAGACACTGGTGACATCACTTACACAGAAACTGTTTCTTCTTCTCTAAAGGAAGGTCATGGAAGACGTCCCAGAAGAGTCTGATGGTGGGATGGTCGGCCCAGTACTCGCCTTTGTACTCCGTGCTCTGAGGAGGGACACACGGGGACACACACACCATTTGAATTCAGGAGAGAGAAACAGACAGGTCACAGTTTACCATGAGAGAGGTGTAGAGAGGAGACCTTTTGGAGCTCCGTCCAGTCGTAGTTGGTGTTTCCGATCACCATGGCCTGCAGTTCATTTGGATGGAAAAGTTCAAGAACTTTCCCGCCGCAGACTTTATGGAAACCGGCGTAGAAACATTCAAACAGCGGAGCAACCGAAGTGTTGAACATGTAGTCGATGTACGCATCAACAAAGTCTTGCCTGCAGGAGGGAAACCGGAGAGTATAAACACAAAATAATATATTTAATAATCATATATGTAATAATATATTTAATAATATATTTAATGACAGACAGCAGCTGCCGGGCTCTGAACACAAAGTCAGACTCAATGAGATTAAAGATATTAAATGTTTTCATTCACAGGTTGAGCCAAGCTGTTCTACACTTTATGCTAAGCTAAGCTAACCTGTCAAAGCTACACAAAGTTGTTCTGCTGATTGGACAGAAAGAAAAAGTTCAGATGTGACCTGTTGGATTTATTCACGTTGATGTTTTCACCGTTTGGAACGAGTTCCAACACCTCGGTGGCTCCGTAGTTATCTTCTGTGATCTGCAGAAACACCGTTCATGTTTGAGTATCGAGACTCTCAGTTCATTCATCATGATGACTTTTAGTATTTAGGTTGACTTCATGCTGCTGAACCATTCTTACGGTGAAGTTCAGGCAGAAGGTCTCCTCCAGGTCGTCCTCTGGGTAGTCCAACAGCTGCTGCAGACTCCTGGTTCAAAAGAAGACAGTTTAAAATCTCCTCTTTTTATTAACCCCTTGTGTGTTCATTCATCTGTATCGTCTTCATCTCTGAATAAAACACTCCTCCTCTGACCTTCCCACGGCGGGCTGCAACTCTTTCAGGTCATCCAGTGTGGGCTTCTTCTTCAGCAGCTTCTTGTAAAGGGCCACCGGAAAGTTCAGCTCCACGATAGTGAAATTATAGATGGCCAGACCGCAGATGACCCCAATCAGATGAAAGAGGTCGATGTCCTCAAACGTCTGCAGGAGAAGATCGAGAGACACAAATACTGAACAAGCAACCGTGTTAAAAAGATCCCAGCTGCTTTGTGTGACTGTTCACATTAAAGACGCATCAAAACCAAAATATCACTATCAGAATTTATACCATTCAAACCAACTGCACAGGATCCAGGAAAGTGAGCCCAGTCTGGATCCAGTTTGAGTTCAGAGTGAGTCAGCTTCAAAGATTAAATATAATTAATTTCAAAGAAAGATGATTTTGTCAGTACCTTGTTTGAAAACCAGATGAGCCTTGAGTCGTCATGGTAACGAAACATTCCATATTTAGGATCCAGCAGCTCCTTCATGATCAGCAGAAAAAACTCTTTCCTCACCCCACCTGCATCGACCGCCTCCTCCCCCACAAATATCACCTGCCATCATCAGATTAAATGATCAGGTAAAAATCAGGTATAAATCAGGTAAAGATCAGGTGATGATCAGGTATAAATCAGGTATAAATCAGGTAAAGATCAGATGATGATCATGTATAAATCAGGTAAAGATCAGGTGATGATCATGTATAAATCAGGTAAAGATCAGATGATGATCATGTATAAATCAGGTAAAGATCAGGTGATGATCATGTATAAATTAAGTAAAGATCAGGTGATGGTCATGTATAAATCAGGTATAAATCAGGTAAAGATCAGGTGATGGTCATGTATAAATCAGGTATAAATCAGGTAAAGATCAGGTGATGGTCAGGTATAAATCAGGTATAAATCAAGTAAAGATCAGGTGATGGTCATGTATAAATCAGGTATAAATCAGGTAAAGATCAGATGATGATCATGTATAAATCAGGTAAAGATCAGGTGATGATCATGTATAAATCAGGTAAAGATCAGATGATGATCAGGTATAAATCAGGTATAAATCAGGTAAAGATCAGATGATGATCATGTATAAATCAGGTGATGATCATGTATAAATTAAGTAAAGATCAGGTGATGGTCATGTATAAATCAGGTAAAGATCAGGTGATGGTCAGGTATAAATCAGGTATAAATCAAGTAAAGATCAGGTGATGGTCATGTATAAATCAGGTATAAATCAAGTAAAGATCAGGTGATGGTCATGTATAAATCAAGTAAAGATCAGGTGATGGTCATGTATAAATCAGGTAAAGATCAGGTGATGGTCATGTATAAATCAAGTAAAGATCAGGTGATGGTCATGTATAAATCAGGTAAAGATCAGGTGATGGTCAGGTATAAATCAGGTATAAATCAGGTAAAGATCAGGTGATGGTCATGTATAAATCAAGTAAAGATCAGGTGATGGTCATGTATAAATCAGGTAAAGATCAGGTGATGGTCATGTATAAATCAGGTATAAATCAGGTAAAGATCAGGTGATAGTCAGGTATAAATCAGGTATAAATCAGGTAAAGATCAGGTGATGGTCAGGTATAAATCAGGTATAAATCAAGTAAAGATCAGGTGATGGTCATGTATAAATCAAGTAAAGATCAGGTGATGGTCATGTATAAATCAGGTAAAGATCAGGTGATGGTCATGTATAAATCAGGTATAAATCAGGTAAAGATCAGGTGATAGTCAGGTATAAATCAGGTAAAGATCAGGTGATGGTCATGTATAAATCAGGTATAAATCAGGTAAAGATCAGGTGATAGTCAGGTATAAATCAGGTAAAGATCAGGTGATGGTCATGTATAAATCAGGTATAAATCAGGTAAAGATCAGGTGATAGTCAGGTATAAATCAGGTATAAATCAGGTAAAGATCAGGTGATGGTCAGGTATAAAGAGAATCTCTTTGAGAGGGTCACTTAATCCTTTTAGAATCTCTCAAACATTCCCATCATAAGATCGACTGTATATTAAAGAGGGTTGTACCTTCAGTGGTTTTTTGTAGTCCACGTTCTTGGACTTCCTGAGGACCTCCATGGTGTCTCCCACAATGTCCTCCCGCCGGACGATCAGGATGAGACACGGATTCACCGACTCGACGGCTGGCATGAACATGGAGCTGAAGTTCTGCATCTGAGCCTGATCCACCGCCATCTTTAAATACAATGTTATTTAATATAATGATAAGAAATGCTGGAATGATTGGATGATTCAAGAGTCTGAATCACCTGCATTTGGATGACTGCATCCGTCTGCAGCAGCGTCGTCTTGGCCTGAGCATCAAACACAAACGGAAACCTGCACAGAGTCACCCCGCCGTCCTGATCCTGAGACAGAAGTAAACGATCCAGAGAGATTGATCAATCATTTACTTACACACGAATAAACCACAAAAGAAGAAGTTGAAGAGCAGACGCACCATGGGATACATTTGTCTCTGAATCCACCTGACGTAGTCGTTTCTGATGTCCATCAGCTCGTCCAACTCGTGGATGTAAAATTTATCGTACTGGATGATGTGCGCCTCTCGCTCGTTCACCTGCAGCCACAGGAAACTGATGTTTACATAACGCTTCATGTGACATCTTTCTTTTTGATGTGTCATGTTTCAGATGTTTGTATGAATGTTTTCAGTTTTTACAGAGTGCAGAATCTGGAGCAGGCGCAGCGACGTGTCGAGGAAACAGGTGAAGATTCTCTGCTCTGCTGAAGGAATCCCGACTCTGTGCATCTGCAGCAGATAAACCACCACCTCCTTATACAACGCCACGAGGCGCTGGAAGACGGGGGGCTCCAACGTGGACCACCAGTGACCTGTGCTCAGAGACGACACAAAACAAGAGATGAAGAAATTACGTTTGAGAGACGATAAAAATAGCAAAAAGGAAAAGAACAAGCCGCTCTTCGTACCGAGCACCTTTAGCGGAGCGTCTTTCAGGCACAGCAGCGATTTGGCGAAGGGGATGGTGATGGTGACATAATTTTTACGGTCGCTGAAGAGAGGACATTCAGGCAGCGTGAGGAAAAGTCTCAGAGCTTCGATGTCTGGAGGAGAAGTGCTCAGTCTGGGAATCAGGTTCTTCTCCAGACTGGCAGCTATCTGACACAGGAACACAAACATGTTTATTTGAAGGGACTGCAGCATGATGTCATGAAACATCAGATTCTCCAAAAATGTGACGTCTACCTGCTGAGTGATCTCTGGATGCTCAGGTGTTATCAATCTGTGAAACAGGAGGCGAGCTGTGTTCATGTCCACACCGGAACACTTCCTGCTGGTACTGAAGTGATCGGGATGACTGTGAAGAAAACATAAAGGTTACATACAGCTAGCACGTCTCTTTGGACACTGATAGATGTTGTGTTTGATCTCTACTGATTATTTGACAGCATCCTGTGTTTGCTGCTTCATTTTAAAGATCCTCTATGAGAATGAAGACAGCAGTAAAGAGCCCTGCTTCACGTGCACTAACTGTCCACTGCAGGAACTTCTGACAGTAATGATCTGATTATCTGACAGCCAGCTGTGTTTGCTGCTTTGCATCATTATGAAGACAACAAAGCGTTATTTTCTCCAGGCTCCGCCTCTCTCTCTCTCTCTCTGTGTGCAGAAACTCTGAGGACAGAATCTTTTATTTTACCTGAATGATAAAAAAGATCCGTTCAGACAGCTAGCCGACGAGAACACGAGGTCGATCTGACTGAAAATAAAATGACAACAATCAGAATGACATCTGTCAACAACCTTCAAATATGAATGACCAATCATCAGTTTACTTTGCAACTTCTGCAGGAAGTCGGCCCGATGACACGTTCAGCCATCTTTGAATTATTTCTTCATTCAAGCAGCAAATGTTCCCGTTTGGATTTTTCATCGTCACGTCTTCAAAGTTCTGAATTCAAAATAGAAAAAAACAAGAAATTATTGTTTATATTATGAATATGTTTATTATTTATATAATTAAAGTGGTTAACTTACGTTGCCTTGGCGATAATGAGCGAAGCTTTGATCTCCTCCAGCGTAAATCTTTGTCACGCAGAACCCCGACCCCGAGTCTGTAAACAAATCAAAACTGTAAATAAATAGAAACTGTAAATAAATAAACACTGTAAACAAATCAAAACTGTAAATAAATCAAAACTGTAAACAAATAAAAACTGTAAATAAATCAAAACTGTAAATAAATAAAACTGTAAATAAATAAAAACTGAAAAACCAATAAAAACTAAATAAAAACCGTAAATAAATCAAAACTGTAAATAAATCGAAACTGTAAATAAATCAAAACTGAAAAACAAATAAAAACTGTAAATAAAAACTGTAAATAAATAAAAACTGTAAATGAATCAAAACTGTAAATGAATCAAAACTGTAAATAAATAAATTCCGGATTTGAAACATTTTGTTTAACTCTTATGAATGAACCCTAACCAACTGAGGAGGATCATAGATAGAATCAGTATAGATAGATATAGAATCAGTAGACAGACATAGAATCAGTAGATAGAAATAGAATCAGAAGATAGACATAGAATCAGTAGATAGATATAAAATCAGTATAGATAGATATAGAATCAGTATGGATAGATATAGAATCAGTAGATAGACATAGAATCAGAAGCTAGACATAGAATCAGTATGGATAGATATAGAATCAGTATAGATAGACATAGAGTCAGTATGGATAGATATAGAATCAGTAGATAAACAGAATCAGTATAGATAGACATAGAATCAGTAGATATATATATAGAATCAGTAGATAGACATAGAATCAGTAGATAGATATATAGAGAATGAGTATGGATAGATATAGAATCAGTATAGATAGACATGTAATCAGTATGGATAGATATAGAATCAGTATAGATAGACATAGAATCAGTATGGATAGATATAGAATCAGTAGATAGACATAGAATCAGTAGATAGATATAGAATCAGTATAGATATATAGAGAATCAGTATGGATATATAGAGAATCAGTATGGATAGATATAAAATCAGTATAGATAGATATATAATCAGTATAGATATATAGAGAATCAGTATGGATATATAGAGAATCAGTATATAGATATAAAATCAGTATAGATAGACATATAATCAGTATGGATAGATATAGAATCCGTTCAGATGGATATAGAATCGATGCACATCTCACCTGATTCCATAAAAGCAGATGAGGACACCCAGGGTCCTTTGACGGGGGCGGGGCTTTTTCTGTTGCTGGTAGAGCGAGTGCCAAGCTGCCCATTCCCCCCGAGTCCAAACGAGTCCATCTTCCCCAAAGACGGCGTGAACGACAAGGTGTGCTGCCTTCAAGTACAAAGATATAAAGTCAGAGTAATCTCACCTGGTGGCTCTGATTATTATTAATCTAACCTTTGACCTTTGATCTAGGTGCGATCAGAGGTCAGGATCATCTCTACCTTCCACATGAAATCTGTGTGACCATGTTTCCCATCAGCTCAAACACCTTCCTGGGGTTGATCTCATGGTTGGTGGAGTTATGTCCGAGCTGCCCGTATCCTCCCGCTCCGAATGTAAACACGCCTCCTTCCTGTGAACGAGTAGCACATGTTAGCCTGTTAGTATTATTTTAATTGTTGTTAATTTGTCTTTATTAGATCTGACAGGTGAAGAGAGACAGGAAGTCACTCAATCATTAATGAATGTCATCCAATCAGAGAAAGAGGTAAAAACTTAACTTAGTGAGCGCCGCTGTGTGATCCTCACCACATGAGATGTAGATTACTCTCTGAGAGCGGAGCGACTTCAACAGAATCGGAAAACACCGATCTGAAAGAAAAAGACCAAACACATCAAATATATGAAATATTATGTGGCCCCTTTCCGCATGTCATTCCCCACTCTCTCTCCCTGGTTTCCAACTCTATCCACTGTCCTGTCTCTGCATTAAAAGGCACAAAAGCCCAAAAATAAATCTTTAAAAAAAATATATATATATATGAAATATTATAAATAAATATCTGCTTCGAAACTCACTCTGATTTAAAATGATAATATCTATTTTAGAGAGGTCAAAGGTTAAGCACTCACCGTTTGTATCGTTGAGTCCGAGCTGACCAAACTTGTTGCGCCCCCACCCGAACACGGCCCCCGACAGAGTGAGGGCGAAGCTGTGAGCACCCCCTGCTGATATCTGAGCGAAAGGAACGCCGTGCAGAGACTGAATGACCTGAGGCGTCGAAATACTTTGACCATTTAACCCCAAACCGAGCTGCCCGAACCGGTTCTGACCCCATGAGAACACCTGACCCCCTGCAGACACACAAGAGATGAACCAATGGATCAGCGATGAACGAGTGACTCATACGAGTCATTTTTGAATGAGTGAATGATGCATGAACGAGTGAATGACGTATGAACGAGTGAATGACACATGAACGAGTGAATGACACATGAACGAGTGAATGACACATGAACGAGTGAATGACGCTTGAACGAGTGAATGACGCATGAACGAGTGAATGACACTTGAACGAGTGAATCATCTATGAACAAGTGAATGAAGCATTAACGTGTGAATTATGCATGAACGAGTGAATGATGTATGAACGAATGAATGATGTATGAATGAGTGAATCATCTATGAACGAGTGAATCATGCATGAATGAGTGAATGATGTATGAACGAGCTAATGATGTATGAACGAGTGAATCATGCGTGAACGAGTAAATCATGCATGAACGAGTGAATGATGTATGAACGAGTGAATCATGCATGAACGAGTGAATGATGTATTAACGAGTGAATCATCCAAGAACGAGTGAATGATACATGAACCAGTGAATGATACATGAACCAGTGAATAATGCATGAACCAGTGAATGATGCATGAACCAGTGAATGATGCATGAACGAGTGAATGATACATGAACCAGTGAATGATACATGAACCAGTGAATGATACATGAATGAGTAAAAGAATGAAAGGGTTACCTACCTCTCGACAGAGCCAGAGAGTGCCAGAACCCGCAGGCTACCTGAACGATCTGGACGTCTGACAGACTCCTTATGTTCCTAATGTTTCACAGAGACAGGTGAGGTGATGACATCATCATCACATTTAAATATTGAGATCATAAATCATTTCAGTAAACTCACCGAGGCACGCGAACACATTCATCAAAGTTATTCAGGCCCACCTGTCCATCTGAGCCCGAACCCCACGAGAACACCTGACCTTTGTCGTTCACAGCGAGCGTGTGCGACTGTCCGCACGCCAACACCGTGATGATTTGAGCGTCCAGAGCCACCACCTGTTCTGAGAAAGACAAAGGTACACCTTTACATGATGAAGATCTTAGTGCACACCTGCTCTGAAGACTAAGGTACACCTGCTCTGAGGACTAAGGTACACCTGCTCTGAGGACTAAGGTACACCTTTACATGATGATGATGAAGATGATCCGAGTCACAGTTCATAAAATGACTCACCCGGTTTCTTTCTGGTCTTGTCGTGTCCCAGCTGTCCCAAGTCGTTGCAGCCGCAGGTGTAAACTGTCCCATCCTCCAATAGGAAGGCTGTGTGTCTGTGGCCGCACCCAACATCACGCACGTACTTTCCGTGGAAGAATTCACACCTTCGAGGCTCGACGACGATCTCCTCATCGATGCCCCCCAAGCCGAGCTGACCATACGAAGCGTTTCCCCAACACAGCATGTTAGCGTCCTGCTAACTATTGACAGAAGGGTTAAGGTTAGGGTTAGGTAAATCAGAAGGATTGACGTTTGTAGATGATAGTTAAGGGAGTGACGACACCTGTCAGGTAAATCAGAAGGATTGACGTTTGTAGATGATAGTTAAGGGAGTGACGACACCTGTCCAGGTAAATCAGAAGGATTGACGTTTGTAGATGATAGTTAAGGGAGTGACGACACCTGTCCAGGTAAATCAGAAGGATTGACGTTTGTAGATGATAGTTAAGGGAGTGACGACACCTGTCCAGGTAAATCAGAAGGATTGACGTTTGTAGATGATAGTTAAGGGAGTGACGACACCTGCCCAGGTAAATCAGAAGGATTGACGTTTGTAGATGATAGTTAAGGGAGTGACGACACCTGTCCAGGTAAATCAGAAGGATTGACGTTTGTAGATGATAGTTAAGGGAGTGACGACACCTGTCCAGGTAAATCAGAAGGACTGACGTTTGTAGATGATAGTTAAGGGAGTGACGACACCTGTCCAGGTAAATCAGAAGGATTGACGTTTGTAGATGATAGTTAAGGGAGTGACGACACCTGTCCAGGTAAATCAGAAGGATTGACGTTTGTAGATGATAGTTAAGGGAGTGACGACACCTGTCCAGGTAAATCAGAAGGATTGACGTTTGTAGATGATAGTTAAGGGAGTGACGACACCTGTCCAGGTAAATCAGAAGGATGACGTTTGTAGATGATAGTTAAGGGAGTGACGACACCTGTCCAGGTAAATCAGAAGGATGACGTTTGTAGATGATAGTTAAGGGAGTGACGACACCTGTCCAGGTAAATCAGAAGGATTGACGTTTGTAGATGATAGTTAAGGGAGTGACGACACCTGTCCAGGTAAATCAGAAGGATTAAATGTTGGACACATGCCTTATCTAATGGTTATGTTAGCGAGCTAAAAATGAAGCTACCAGATTGAACAGTTAGCATGCTCACATTGAGAAGAAGCTAACAGGTAATATGAAGGAGAACAGAGCGCAGCTGTGAGTGTAAATGTCGTCGTATCTTGTTTAATCTTCTTTATTGGTGTTTAATATGATGTAGTGCACAGCTAACTCTGAACTTCATGAAGCGTTGCTCTTTAAACAAGTTATAAACGTGTCGTTAAGGTCTTATAATGAATCTTACCGAGCAGCTGTCCTCAGTTTATCTGTTCAGAAGGTTTAAAAACAACAAACCAGCTCGTTCTTTCATTATTTTATCTCCAAATTCAACCGGCAGCTACTTAGAAAGACTCAGCCCCTCCATACTGTCAACAACAGGAAGTTAGCGTCACTACACTCTTTACTTCCGCTCTGTCCTTTAGAAATAAAGTTTCTTCGTGTAAGTGTACCGCCTGTGTTTCCAGGAAACGGATTAAGAAAGCTCCTTCTGTCACCAACACTTGTATGACTAAACTAAAGTATGACTCACGTGATCAGGTTACTTTTAAACGTTTATGTGCATGTTGTAGAGCTAAATCGTAACTGTGCTGACCTTTAATTTGAACATGAATTGATGTAACCGGAAGTATAACCGTTTTTTAAGGCTTAATTTAAAACTTTACGTAAGAGTGAAGAAACGCCGAGACTCATCGACAAGGTTCTAGATGGGGTGCCACCGCGCATGCGCAGATGTTACATTTGTGCCCTGAAGATTTACCTCACATTGAAGAATACTTAAACCATAACTAACTAGAACTATAATTAAAGGACCAATCAGTGAGATGTGTAGTGAGTGAGATGATAAAGTGACCTTACTATATGATCAGACATTAAGGAAACATGCTTTTGAGGTGCTGGCTTCTCTGACAACTATGCAGCAGCCAGTATGTCCTCCTTCTAACTTTAGATTCTGCTCCTGAACGCTCTGGATCTGTTTGGACCAGAGAAGGTAGGCGGTTTTAAGGCCCCACAGTGGAGGTGCCTTAAGGGGGGGGAAAGTTAGGAAGACTGTAAGGGACTGACAGGGGTCCTCAAAAATATTAGAACATGAATTATTTGTATTCATATTAATTAATAAACGTAGGCTATAATCCGTGTGATTATACAAATAACTGCTTCATTGTATTTTCTTGATTTTTGGCAACAAAAAAAAAAAAAAGTGACTCTAGAGAGGAGGGGGGGAGGGGGAGACAGCTCTCTACAATGTTTAGAATGTAGACTGTAGTACCCATTTTAAACACTAGGGGTCAGAGTTACACACTGCTCCTTTAACCATAACTAACTAACTTTATTAGTAGGGTTAGTTATGGTTAGTAATGGAAAGGTACGGTTGGTGAGGCTGTGGCTCAGTGGTAGAGTCGGTCAACTCATAATCGGAAGGTCGAGGATTCGATCACCAGCTCCTGCAGCAACTTGTTCGATGTGTCTTTCGGCAAGACACTTAACCCTGAATTGCTCCCACTGCTTTGTTGGCAGCGTATGAATGTGTATGAATGGATGAGTTAATAAGGATAACTATAGTTGTAAGTTCTGGTTTCTTTTTTAACTCGGTGTAACTGTGAACTGTACCAGAGGACATCAGACATTACAGTTTAGTTTTCAATCATATCTGTGTAAAGTTGAATATAATCTTTACATGATTACATTTGAAACACGTTCATGATAAAGTCATAAACACTGAATACTTTGATATGTTGACGCTTCTCTCTGCTGACGTTTGTCAAATGAGTTATCTGTCCTGTTGACGGTCTTTGATGAAATGTGGTGTTTCCTGTTCTGCTGGTTCTTCTCGCCCTTTGTCCTCATGACTCACCTGTCCTGTTTTTTACCTGATAGTTTCTTACCTGTTAGTTCCCTGTGCAGACAGACTGAACCCTTCTTTCACTAACTCATCAGAGCTGGAGGGACAGAAACAGAGACACACACATGTTGCACCTGATGGGAGTGAGTACCATGCTACGGCACATTTTTCACTTCCTGTGAGAATTTGTTTGTTTAATTTGGGTATTTTATTTTGACACTCAGATTATCGTCGGCCTCCTCTTCATCATCATGTGTTTTTCAAAAGGACTCAAAGAGGTGAGTCGACACTATATTTCTTCTGTGTGTTTAAAGATTTGAATCCTCCTTAAAGGCAAAGAAACTAACTGTTTCTCTGATGATTTCTTCAAAGGGAAATAAAACTCTAAGATCACCGCTCACAGAATCATCTGCCAACAAGAAGGTGAGTCAAAAATCTGGTTTAATGTTGTTCACTGCTGGCTGTAAAACAAATATAGTACTTGTTATATTTATTATATAAAAACAGTAGGAAGTGAAATGTTGTTCAAAGGTCCAATCAGTAAGATGTGTAGAGAGTGAAATGATAAAGTGACCTTACTATATGATCAGACATTAAGGAAACATGCTATGTTGAAGTGCTGGCTTCTCTGACTGGCTCAACACTGAAGCTTCAGTGTCCACCACATGGCAACCTGTGTGAGCATCAACTCTAGAGAGGATGGGGGGGAACAGCTCTTTACAATGTTTAGAATTTAGACTGCAGTACCCATTTTAAACACTAGGTGTCAGAGTTACATACTGCTCCTTAAAAGATAAAACAGTAAATGTTAAATGATGATATTTCTATGTGGTCTTCTTTTGAAGGATCTGAGTGAGGAAGACGTTCAGTTGTTGGCTCGGATCCTCTCGGTCGGTTTGGTCGACGCTGATCCTAATTATCTCCAACACCTGAAAGGTTACAGAGACCTGCGAGGAGGAGGATGGTTGAATTAAACAAACGAAGATTAACACAAGAACAAGATGACAGAATGGATGGAGACGAATGCACTTTATTGAGTTTAAAAATAACCTGACTGTTTGAGATTTGATGTTTCTCAATGTTTACATGTTTTTAAATGTTTGATGTGTTCACACAATGCTGTTAATATTAAAAAGACTATAAAACATTTTCACCGTTTGAGTATAAATTAGCCCTTCACACACTGACTAGCAGAGGCTAGTATGGCTAATAGTAACAGTTGTAGAATAAGGCTATCTATACTTTAGCTAAGAGCTAACAGTTGATTACAGGGTAAGGGGTTTAAACTCTTTGTTTTTGAGTTCTGGATGACATTTCTTCAGTTGTTCTTCAGAAGATTTCTCAGGAGACTCTCCGTCAGAGGTAATGGATCTTTACTGAAACAGGTGAGGTGGTGGATCTGAAACAGGTGAGGTAGTGGATCTTTACTGAAACAGGTGAGGTAGTGGATCTGAAGCAGGTGAGGTAGTGGATCTGAAACAGGTGAGGTGGTGGAAGGTGTTAAATGTTGGTAATTTTGGTTTTTAGGGGTTTGTTCTTATAAATGAATGATTTGATATTTTATAAGCTTTTAAAGAAAAAAGAAACCACGTCATGAAGCACAAGTCACAGACACTCAGGTTAGACGACATCACTCTTCTCTGGATTTAACGGCACGTCTCTGACTCCACACAAGGACGTTCAGTTTGTCTCCGAGCTCGTAAAGAAACGCCACCACAGACATGTTGAAGAAGAAGAAGAAGACCAGACCAGCTGAGCTGAGACGTCCAAGGAGGGGGTAGACCCAAAGCCCGACCGACAGGTACACCCAAACAATCCTGCAGGGCGAGTTCAGAGAGAGAGAGAGAGAGAGAGAGAGAGAGAGAGAGACACACTGTCAGTGTGTGTGTGTGTGTGTGTGTGTGTGTGTGTGTGTGTGTGTCAGGCCACAGCACAGTTTGCACTCGTTAAGGTTCATCACAGATTAAACCTGCTCACACATCATGTGTTCCCTGTCAGTCTGATAATTGAACTGTTTCTTTTTATACCTGGAAACTTACAGAGTAAGCTTCACTTCATCTTTTTGTTATTCTTTAAATAAATATATAGTTTAAAATGGGGTTAGGGTTAACATTTTATAATAAATAACAATGTTAGCATGCTATAATAAATAACAATGTTAGCATGCTATAATAAATAACAATGTTAGCATTATATAATAAATAACAATGTTAGCATGCTATAATAAATAACAATGTTAGCAAGCTATGATATATAACAATGTTAGCATTATATAATAAATAACAAT